CGAGCGCCTGCACCACCAGCAGCTCCAGAACCTCCAGCGCCAGCACCTCCAGTACCAGCATCACCAGCAGCTCCAGAACCTCCAGTGTCATCACCTCCGTACCAGCGTCACCAGCAGCCCCAGAACCTCCAGTGCCAGCACCTCCAGTAACAGCGTCATCAGTAGCTCTAGAACCTCCAGCGCCAGCACCTCTCGTACCAGCGTTACTCGCAGCAGCACCCCCGGAACCGGCAACTCTGGAACCAGGGTCTCCAGCCTTAGCGTCTCCAGCAACGGCACCCCCAGACTCAGTACCGCCAGGCCCAGCAACTCCATTACCTCCAGTACGAGCACCTCCAGAACTAGCGACTCCACCACCTCCTGTAGACAAAGTACCAGCACCAGTCCCAGCTGCAGAGCCCCGAACTCTAGCAGCGTGACCCTGACGGCTAGCGTACCACTCGTGCAGCTGCTGAGGGGAGAGAGGCGCACGCGGACGAAGGCGGCCTCTCCAAGGAGACCGCGCACCAGCAGTCTCAGTACCCTCAGACGCCGCACCCCCAGACTCAGCACCCCCAGGCTCCTCATGCTCAAGCGCAGCACCCCCATACGCAGCACCCCCAGGCGTAGTACCTCCAGCCTCCTCACACTCAGGCGCAGCACCTCCAGGCTCCTCACGCTCAGGCTCAGCACCCGCAGGCTCCGAACCCCCAGGGTCAGCACCCCCAGGCTCCTCACACTCAGGCTCCACACCCCCAGGCTCAGCATCCCCAGGCTCCTCACACTCAGGCTCCGCACCCCCAGGCTCAGCACCCCCAGAGACAGCACCCCGAGCAGGACCACCCCCAGCAGGACCTGAGTCACCAGTGACCTTCACAGGCGCAGGCACGGGAGGGTCTACCTGAGAAACACCTGAAGGAGCAGGACCTGGCGCGGGGAGGTGGTCTACCTGGGGAGGACCTGGAGCAAGAAAGAGCGGCGGGGGGGGGGGCGAGGGGCAGTGCGGTAGGGAAAGAGACGGTAAAAGGGGACTGACTCGTCAAAGGTGACGTCCTGAGACGGAAAGACACGGCGCGAGGCGGGGTCGTAAAACTGCCAGCCAGACGCGTCAGGGACAAAGCCAAGGAAGACGCAAGGAATGGCGAGAGGGGAGAGCTTTTCCGCGGTGGTATCGCGGACAAAGATACAGGCAACCCAGACTCGGAAACACGACGCATCGCCAACCTCCCCCGTCCATCGTAGTGTGGGCGAAGTCTCTGGCACGGAGACACGGGGCCAGAGGCTGAGCTGATGCGCGGTCTGTGTGAGGAAATGAGGAGGAGTGAGGAGCGGCGCGCTGCCGACCCTCGATGCAAGGAATGCAGGGGGGCGCAGGCAAGGGAGGGAGGGCAAGCAGAGACCTGGGAAGACCAGAGACCAGGGAGCGAGAGTGCATGCCATGAAGGCGAGGTAGGGAGGGGTGACCAAGGCGGTGGTGCCAAAGGAGAGTCTGGTGCGACAGGCGACGACACTCACACTGGATAACTACCTGAGCAGACGCGTACAGCTGAGGAGAAAAAGGGGTAGAGCGCGACACAGTGGTGAGGGTGTACAGACTTGACCCAGGCTCACGGGTGAACGTGGCCAGGTGGCGGCCGGTTCGAGAGCATGTGCAGATTGCCACACGCTGCCCTCCAGGAATAAAGGTGTCGACCCAATGATCCTGAAGGACGTCGTTGCTCACCAAGTTCGTAGAGAACGAGGGGAGGTGGAGACCAGACAGCTCACTAAGACGGGACCGCCAGACACGGAAGCACAGTGGAAGACCGTGCAAGCACTAGGCCCCAAGAAGGGTCAGCCAGTGAAGAAAGGGACAGGTGCAGGGAGGGGAGTGACTGTGGTGCTGTCGCGAAAGAAACAGCGGGAAGCACCAGAGTCAAGTGTGAAGGTGTGCAAGGCCTCTGCGGACGCAGTACCAGGGAGAGCAGACTCACGAGCACCTAGAGTTGCAGGCGCTATACCTGGGGCTGTACCAGGGTCAGGCGGCACACACAAGTAGCAGTCACCCTCAGCACTAACAGTCAATGCATACATGGCAGCAAGAATAGCATCATAGTCAAGATCAAAGATATGTACATCATGCCTAAGCAGGTCTGCCCAGTTGGGGAACTCAATAGCATCAGGAAACTTGACGCGCCAGGCGTCGCTAAACCGAGCGAAGCAGCGGTACTCAGTATAAAAGCCGGTGCACTGGTGACCAGCGCGGGGACCTGAGAGAATGATATAGGGGCAGCGACCACGACCCCCAGACGCCCCACGCCCGGCATACCAGTCATGAAGCTGCTGGGAAGTGGGGGTCTGGCGCTAACGCTGCTGCGGCTGATGCTGCTGCTGTTGCTGCCCCTGGCCACCATTGGTCTCACCCTATCTGAGAGAACGTCTTCGTTATAATATTTATCATTATTAATATCTTATTCTCCGTTTTCTCCTCTTTATTTTGGTCTTTATATCATCTCAATCGGCCTACCATTCCATTTTCTGGAGCCTTCTCTTTATTTCACTTATTTCCTACTTTTCCCACCGACATATCTATTTTACGGCACCGACAGCGCCGATAGTGGTGTATACAGTGTAATCTGGGCGGAATCCCAAGTGCGAATAGCCTTGCATGTTTGTGCGCACTTGTGATTGTAGTATCGGGAAGGGCATGTTCCCGAAGGTTCGTTTTATCTCGTTTATCCTTGTATTTTCCGAGTATGAAAACGCCTTGTATTCAGTTTTAGTGACAAGTTTCGATAGAGAATTCGATCCTGTGACACTTGGTAATCAGAGCCGTTCTCACTCGACAACTCTCGACTAAGCAGCGGTCGCGGAAAAAATCGTCTCGAAAAACCGCCGGAGGCGACCAATTTGACGCCGATTTCCTGGTAAGCACCAGTTCTGCGCTTTTCGAATTAACCCCCTCGCGTGTTTTCTGAACAAGATGGGTTTGCCGGCGACCAACGACGTTACGCAGCAGCTCTTCGCGCAAATCGCCAAGATGGAAGCGGAGATGCGAGCGACTACCAAACAGTCGCGATTGGAGAACGAGCAGCTGCGAAATGAACTACAGCGCTTTACGCAGCTCCTCTCGACCATGAACATTCCTGCTTCGGCGACTTCGCAGCAGAGGCATCGTCAGTTCGAGGTTTCGAAACTTCGCTCGACGGAATCGTTCGACCCCAGTGACAGGAAATCCGACGTCAGGCGATGGCTCGCAACGATCGAAACTTATTTCGTGGCAATCGAATGGTCGACGACGGAGTACGACGGCGAAAAAATTCGTCTCGCGACAACGTTGATGCGCGGTCCCAGCTCTCGAGTGGCTCGGAAGCAGCAGTAGGATTTTCCAGGGCGAAGCCACGTGGCAGCAGTTCCGGGCAGACCTGCTCAAACGTTTTGAGCCGATTAATTCCACTTATATTGCGCGCAAAAAATTACATCACCGCCGGCAATACGAGAGTGTCGCGTAATACACGCAGCAGATGGAAGAATTTTAAAATCGCATTCCCGACATTACAGAGGGTGAAAAAAAAACCAGTCCTACATCGAGGTGTTGAAAACCGACATTCGCCGCCAGGTTGCAGCAGCGAATTACAGCAGCTACAGCGAGATCGTATCGGTCACGGAGCATTTTGACTTGGTCAATACCGGAACACGACGACCCCATGTCGTCGGATCACGACAAGGAGATTGCTCGGCTTTAACCACGTTCGCCGACCCCATTGAAGTTGACAAATTCGACGCGAATTAACGACCTGCAAAAATAAAAACGTATTGCGATTTTTGCGGCGGAAACGGACATTGGATTGTCGACAGTTTTCACATGAAATCTGCACGTGCGGCATTCCGAGCTCGAGGGAGTGGCGAAACTGAATGTCAAACTTATATGCTATAGTCTGTGTAGGCTATAGTGGGGTAGTTCATATGGGGTACAACACTTTAGGGTTTCCCACTTGTACTCCTCATGCTGCTCAATGCAATCATTCCTTGTTCTTTCACATGGTATAGAGCAGGTTCCCTAGTGGGAACGTTTCCTAGGGCCCACCACTGAATTTTTTTTATTCTGCCCGTAGCGCGCTTCCGTCCTGCCCGAGTCGCGCCCCGTGTGTCCTCCCTCCCGTCGCGCCCCTAGCCCTTAGCGGCCCGTCGCGCCCTCCTCAGGCCCCTCGCGGACCCTTTCGCGGCCCCTCACGGCCCCTTACGGCCCCTCTTACGGCCACGTCGTCGCCGCTCTAGGCCCCGTCGCCGCCCCTCTAGGCCCGTCGAGGCCCCTTTGCGGCCCCGTTGCCGCCTCTAGCGGCCTCGTCACCGCCCCTCTAGGCCCCTCGCAGCCCCTTCGCGGCCCCGTCGCTGCCCCTCTAGGCCCCTGGCGTCCCCTTCGCGGCCCCGTCGCCGCCTCTCTAGGCCCCGTCGCCGCCCCTCCAGGCCCCTCGCGGCCCCTTCGCGGCCCCGTCGCCGCCCCATGCGGCCCCGTCGCCGCCCCCTCTAGGCCCCTTACGACCCCTCTACGACCCTGTCGCCGACCCTAGCGGCCCGTCGCCGCCCCTGGAGGCCCCGTCGCCGCCCTTCACGGCACCTCGCCGCCCTTAGCGGCCCCATCGCCGACCCTAACGGCCCCGTCGCTGACCCTAGTGGCCCCGTCGCCGCCCCTAGCGGCCCCGTCGCCGCTCTTCGCGGCCCCGTCGCCGCCTCTACCGGCCCCTTCACCGCTGAGCCGCCTAGCAGCTGAGCAGCCGAGCCACCACGCCGCCAGCCACCCAGCAGCCGGGGCACCCGACAGCCAAGCCGCCAAGCCGCCCAGCAGCCGAGCCGCCGCGCCGCCCAGCGACCGAGCCGCCGAGCCGCCCAACAGCCGAGCAGCCCAACAGCCGAGCCGCCGTGCCGCCCAGCAGCCGAGCCGCCGAGCTGCCCTGCCGTCGAGCCACTACTGTTCCTACCAGCGCGCCCCGGCCCTACTCCCTTGGACTGGTGAGCTCACTCCCTGCTAGGCCACTTCAGTCATGGCTACCCCCAGTGTCCTTACATTTGATACTGAGGGTCGTGCTGTTGACTTTGATGTCTGGGTCGATGATCTCCAGCTGTTCTTACAGTGCGATAGGGCAGACGAACTCTCCCTGTTTGATCTCACCTTTGGTGTCTCTCCTGACCCGCCTGCGACTGCTGACAGCACTGTTCGCTCACAGTGGGCCACGCGCGATGATGCGGCACGTCTTGCTGTTCGTCGCCACTTACCGACCACTGAGCGTGCGCACTTTAGCCAGTACAAGAGTGCTAAGACCTTGTACGACGCTGTAGTTGCACGATACTCTTCCCCTGCCACTGCTGCGCTTAGCCGCCTCATGCTACCATACCTGTTCCCTGACCTTGCTGCCTTTCCCACGGTCACTGACCTCATTACGCACCTTCGCACTAGTGACACTCGCTACCGCGCTGCGCTTCCTGCTGAGTTCTGCGCCAAGAACCCCCCCCATGTACATCAACCTCTACTACATAGTCACACGGCTCCCTGACTCCCTTCGCTTAGTCAGGGACCACTTCCTCTCAGTTTGCCCCACCACACTCACCGTTGACCTCCTCGAGGAGCGCCTCCTAGCAGCAGAGAAGAGCATAGTCGCTATAGGAGCCTCTCGTGGTGACCCTCGCACCCCCGTCTTTGAGGGGTGTTCTCCCTCCCCCCTCTTGCCCTCTGTTGCTTCTGCTGCTGCGCCCGACCTCGTTGGCTTCGAGTCGGTCGGCGCTGCGTCTACCCCTAGCGGGAGACGCCGCACCGGCAAGGGCAAGGGGGGCAAGGGCGTTGGAGTGACTGGCGGGGGCGTTGGAGGTGGTGGTGGAGGCAGTGGAGGGGGTGGGGGTGGTGGTGGGAGTGGTGGCGGGGGTGGAGGTGTCGGTGGCAGCAGTGGAGGCGGAGGAGGCGGCGGTGGCGGCGAGGGAGCGGAGGCGGCAGAGGTGGCGGAGGCGGCGGAGGTGGTGGAGGCGGCGGAGGCAGCGGTGGAGCTGGTCGCGGCTCTGCGCAGAGGAGTGGCTCCGGTGGTGGTCCGCGCTAGCAGCAGCAGCGCAGTCGTGAGACCCTGTCCCCTCAGCAGCTTCGTGAGTGGTACGCTGGGCGTCAGCGGGGTGGGGGTACTGGTCCCTGCACCTACGTCCTCCGTACAGGCGACCGCGCTGGTGAGCAGTGCGGGGGCACGCACTCCACCCAGCACTGCTTCGGCCGCCTGACGGACGCTTGGCGTCATCAGTTCCCTGACGCCACTGAGATCCCTTGCTGGGGAGAGCTGTCTAGGGTGGGGGTTGCTATCTTTGATCTTGACTTTGATGCTATTCTTGCTGCCATGTATGCTGTGTCTACTAGTGATGAGGATGACTGTTACCTGTGCGTTCCGCCACACCCGGGCATTGAGGCTGCTGCTCTAGGTGCTGGTGAGGCTGCTGCTCCAGGTGCTAGTGCGTCTGCTGCCCCAGGTGCTGGTGAGTCTGCTCTCTCAGGTACCACGTCGGCTCAGGCCTTTCACACCTTCACCCTTGACTCGGGTGCTTCCCGCTCCTTCTTTCAAGATCGCACCACGCTTACGCCGCTTAGTCGGCCGGTTGCGGTCTCCCTGGCGGACCCCTCTGGGGGTCCTGTCCTTGCTAGCTTCCTCCACTGTCTTACCGTGTCCGGCAGCCCCCTCTGGCACCCTGTCAGGTCTCTACCTCCCCTCGTTCTCTACGAACTTGGTGAATGGAGCTGATCTACAGGATCGGGGGGTTGACCAGTTCACGCCTGCGAGTCAGCGGGTGACCCACTGTACGTGTGCTCGGAGGGGCCGACACTTGGCCACGTTTACCCGTTCAGCCGGGGTCGAGCCTGTACACACTGACCACTTGAGTCTCCTCTTGTTGCTGAGTCTGGTCAGGTAGCTGCGTCGAAGTCAGGTGTTTGCTGCAGCGTCCAGGTCTGGTCCTGAGTATGCGCCCTGCATCGTGTCGTCTCCTGTCCCACCAAACTCTCCTTTGGCACCACCGCCTTGGTCACCCCTCCCTTCCTCGTCAACGAAGCATGGCCTCACGTGTCCTTGTCTCTGGTCTCCCCTGGTCCCTCCCTCCCCTACCTCCGAGGCCTGCCCCTACCTGCGTTCCGTGCGTCGAGGGGCGGCAGTGCGACGCCCCTCACTCCTCCGAGTTTCCTCCGACAGAGGCTCCCTTGCAGACTCTTCACATGGACGAGTGGGGCCCCGTCCGGGCCAGAGGCCACGGACAGGCTGCTGCGTGCCGTGGTGAGCAGAGCGAGCAAGGCGAACTCCCAAGACGTTTGCAGAGCTGCTAGAAGAGGTAGGGCATGGGGTGGGTAGGATAGAGGGAGGGAGGGGGAGGGGGAAGGAAGGGGTAACACATGGTTGGATAGGAAGTGGATGAGAGTTTGGTTGGTAATTTTTTTTTTTCCCCCGAGTACTTTTCTGTTTTTTTTTTTTTAAGTTTATATTCAAAGTTTTTCTGAGAATTCCCAAAATTATGCATCGGTCGGGTGGGAAGTGGATGACAATTCGGCTGGTAGGTGACATTGACGGATGAAATAAGATGGGTTCTGAGACGTCTCAAAGCCAATCTTATTTCACGGGTAGGAAGTGGATGAGAGTAGGGTTTATTACGTGGCAATGTCAGAGCGAGCAAGCGAACGTTCAAGACGTTTTCTTGCAGAGCTGCTAGAGGAGGCAAGTCGTGGGGGTTGGTAAGGGCGGGGTAAAGAAGTATGGTGGGTAAGACCTGGGCGGGTAAGACCTGGGGCAGGTGAGGCTGCTTGTGCTCACCCCTTCCATACCCCAAGCGCCATCCATAGTCGAGTCTAGAAGCCCTGTACTTACCCCTCGGACACACACCTCTTTCTTCCCACACCCCACCACCCTCTCTCCCCATCGGCGAGTCTAGAAGCCCTGCCACCAGGCACGCCCTCCTTACCTCACAGCAGCAGTGGAGCCCGGCTGCTGCCTCTGTGTATTGTTTGTGTGCTCACCCCTGCCATGCTTCTCCCTCGCTTCCATGCCCCCTCCTCACTCCCCACAGGCGAATCTAGAGACCCTGCCACCAGGCACGCCCTCCTACCTCACAGCAGCAGTGGGCCCTCCAACAGCCGCCTCAGTGCGCCGCTTCTGCTCTGCGTGTGGCAGCCACGCGCCCTACACATGCCCCCGCTGTGCCGCCCGCTTCTGCTGCATCAGCTGCCAAAGACTGCACAACGAAACCCGCTGCCTCAAGTTTGTCATGTAGTGATTTATGATCAGCTAGAATATTGATAAGCGTGTTGTGCTGTTTGGGGAATCTGTGTGAATCACTGCTGCTTTGCTGTGTCTAATTTCTTATTTGGAGGTGTCTCAAAACAGTTGTGTTGATTCGCTGTGTACAGAACAGTTAATGATTTGATTTGATCTGATTTTAACAGCTGTCTCTACTTGAAAGAGCTTCCACGTGAAGGAACTGCTGCTGCGGCCATGCTTGTTGTCACTCCAGCACCTGAAGATGGCAAAGCTAGTCCAGCAACCGAGCTTCAGTGATTCAGTGATTTCAATAAAGGGCCTACAGCAAACGGGCTCAATATATTTTGTTCATTTTCTTTTATATATATTTACACATGCTAGCATCCCAAATACATGTTAACATCCATTTTCTGTGCGTAAATTGACAACAAATGGTTATGGAGAGAAAAAGCAATGATTATATATCCTGAAAACATTACAGTTGAAATGTGCATGAATCGCAAACGCGGACCACAATGTGTGGTGAGTGCGAAGGTTTTCGCACTAGGTGTGCAATTATTGCTCGGCCGCACACCCCGCGTTACTTGTACATTATGATCGCCCCACTTACATTCGATCCCCACAACAAAAACCTTGCACCACTCCTGACCGCTGGAAAACTTCACTTACCCGCTGGTTTTCAATACCCCTCTCACAGAACCCAACCGCGCCAGGAAACCAACCAGCACTTTCACATGTTTCATAATTTCGATGTGCGTCACAAATACCAGAGCATTAGCAAACGTGGTGGCCAGTTCCCCAGCGATAGCGATAAGCGCCGCATTCGTCGGTACCATGAGGTCCAGCAATCGAACGAGGCGCTACGAGAGGCATCATGGGGCTGAAACGCCTCCTCTGATGTCGAGCCGCAATATTCCAGCAAAGTCTGCACTCGGCACTCACGCTAGCGTATTTAACGCGGAGGAAGTTGGAAACAACTCATTCACCGCTAGTAACAGCAGCTAAACAAATTCAGTACCAACCCCCTCAGCGGTTCTTTCCCATCTCAGAAGACTGCCATATCGAACTCTATCATGGGCGCGCTTCGTCATCGCTTTCTGCTCGCGCTCGTCCTCGTGGCGTCTCTAAACTTCCTCGCGGTTTTCGCGGCGCAGCCTCCGCCGGATGGGTACTACGGCGCGAGTGAGCCGGCGCTGGAAGAAGCATACGACCAGCGCGCGCTCCTGGAGGCCGAAAGCGATGCCTCGCTTGACTCCGTTGACTCGGTTGACTTGGAGGACTCGCGGGTGCTTTCTCGATGGGGGATGCAGCGGCGGACTTGAAGCAGGACGTCGGACGACCTCAGCGGCAGCGTGAAGAAAGCTGTCGGGCAGGCGGGGAGGAACGTGCGCAACTCGATCGGCTCCATGGTCGGAGTCCCGCCCAACAAGGGCACGAAGAAGCACCACCGCCGCGGCGGGAAGAAAACTGGGCGCCGCGGCGGGAAGAAAACTGGGCGCCGCGGCGGAAAGAAAACTGGGCTGGCGGGAGCTCGTAAGCGCAAATCGGGCGCGGCAGCCCCCAAGACGTCCGCTGCGGGGGTTCCGAAGAAGCAGGGGGCGGGAGGTAAGCTCAACTCCGGCGCAACCCCCAAGAAGCCCGCTGCTGCCGCTGCTGGCGCGACGGGGGCTCCTAAGAAGCAGGAGGCGGGAGCTAAGGACACCTCGGGCGCAGCACCCGAGTCCCCCGCTGCTCCCGCTGCTGCAAACGAGCCGCGCGCGCTCCTCGAGGCGGCCGACAGTGATGCCGTGATTGACTCCGTTGACTCGGTTGACTTCGACTCCGTTGACTTGGAGGATTCGCGGGTGCTTCTCTCGATGGGGGATGCAGCGGCGGACTTGAAGCAGACGTCGGACGACCTCAGCGGCAGCGTGAAGAAAGCTGTCGGGCAGGCGGGGAGGAACGTGCGCAACTCGATCGGCTCCATGGTCGGAGTCCCGCCCAAGAAGGGCAAGAAGAAGCACCACCGCCGCGGAGGGAAGAAAGCTGGGCGCCGCGGCGGGAAGAAAACTGGCCCCGCGGGAGCTCGTAAGCGCAACTCGGGCGTAGCAGCCCTGAAGACGGCCGCCGCTCCCGGCGCTGCTGGCGGGAAGGCGGTTTCGAAGAATCAGGCGGGAGGTAAGCTCAACTCTGGCGCGCATGCGCTGGGAGCAAAGGGCACCTCGGGCACAGCCCCCAAGCCCACCGCTGCCAGCAGTGCTGCGAGCAGTGCTGCCAGCAGTGCTGCACCCAGCATTTGATTCGAAAAGCAGCCAGCAGACGTGCAATGGAGGGTTGCAGGGCGGCAGGGTGGCTTGGTCCTTCTACACAGGGAGATGCGGCGAATGGCAACCGAATGACCCGGTCTAATGCATGGGGAAGGGGGGGGCTCTAGAAGGCCCGTTGCTTGTGATGTGGCGAGCTTGTGGCAGTGGTTCTGCGTGTGTGTGTCTGTGTGCTTGTTTCTCTTTGAAAACACCTTTGTGAGGGAGGCGTGGTGGGTAGGAAATAGAAGGCAAGAGATGGGCTGCAAGGATACGTAGAAGGGGTTAGGAAAGAAAATTGACGTTTCTGCTTTGCTTGTGCTTTCTTCGCATCTCAGGGTTGATGATGTATTGCATGTGGTGGTGGGCTGTCATGTAGTGCAATTTGTGGTTCAATTCCAATGTTTCAGATTTCTTTACCAACAAGGCTACTACAGTAGAGACGAGGCAACAAAATGTCCCATACCTAAATAGCTTAGCACTGGCTTTATCGGCCAGCTCCAATTTTGTCCTGATATTTTCAAACCAGCCGGTTGTTGCTGCTGCTCCATTGTCACGTTATTCGCGTGAAGTTCAGCAATTGTTGGTTGGGTGGGTACGTGTTCGTTGGAGATGGCTGATTTTCCCTTGATGGGAAAGTCCTAGCTCCGCAGGCAACGGTGACGGCAATGTTACAAAAAGGTCAAGAGCGACGACCGACTTCTTTCTTCCTCTAGCCTATGCTCGTCATAACTAAGTTTGTTCTAAAACGTCTAATAACGAGTACAGGCACCGGCTACAGTCACTCTGCCTCTTCAATGACCTCCTTCACCGAATTAACCTGCATCCGGACATACAGGCAGACACGGGCAGACACGGGCAGAGACAAGGGCAGACACGTGCAGGTCAGGGCAAACAAGAGCAGAGATGGGCGGACCAGGCAGTGAGCTGATGTGAGAGAAGCAGGCAAAGTGTAATGCATGAACGTTATTATACACGACAAACACTCAGCATTCATTACAATTATGCCCCTGTTCAACCCCACATTCGACTCTGAAGCACAGTCCATGAGTATCATTCCAACCCGCTCTCTAGAGTCACAAATGGGAGAGGATGAGAAATGGTATGCCTTCATTTCATTCACTGTTATCACATCCGTTCTCCACTCCACTATTTATTGTTACAGATGGGGAAAAACATGGTCCACCATTATTCGCTACAATCACATCCACAAAGCTCACCTCTGGAATGTAATGTGTGAGCATGCTCTCCACGCCGCTCTTTAGAATCACAGAGGAGCTCGGGCAGCCACTGCAGGCGCCTGTCATGCGCAGATACACGATTCCCGTGGCCCTGGGGGTGGATGGTTGGCAAGCAAGTGGGGGGTGGGGAGAGCAAACCACACAGGCTTAAATGAAACCGCACACAAGGCTCGGGCAGCCACTGCAGGCACCCTTCATGCGCAGATACACGATTTCCGTGGCCCTGGTGGGTCCGTGGCAGTGAGGGGAGGGGAGAGCGTAACACACAACAGGATGTGAGGGGTTATATGAAGGGCGACGCACAGGGCAGGGGAAGCCACTGCAGGCGCCCTTTCATGCGCAGGTACACGATTCCCGTGGCCCTGCAGGAATGGATGGCAGTGAGGAGAGGGAGGGCACAACAATCAGAGCTGGATTAAGAAGGGTGCCATGGCTTGAACAGCCCCTGCAAGCGCCTTTCATGCACAGATGCACGATTCCCGTGGCGTGGATGGTACGCAAGGTGACACGGGCGTGCGATCATGCTTGGTGAGGCATAAGAAAAAGGCCTGGGCAGGCACAGCAAGAGGGTGACGTGGCAAGGTGATGATGTGGCAAGAGGGTGACGTGGCAAGTGTTTGACATGGCAAGCGGGTGACGTGAAGCGCTCACTCGTCAAAGTCAACAAAGTCATTGTCCCCTCTGTCCTCCTGCAATGCCGGTCGACCTTTTAAGACATCTCAAAAGTCAACAATGTGAATCCAAGTCAGACTCACTCGTCAAAGTCAACCAAGTCAGACCCACTAGTCAAAGTCAACCAAGTCAGACTCACTCGTCAAAGTCAACAAAGTCAGACCCACTGGTCAAAGTCAACCAAGTCAGACTCACTCGTCAAAGTCAACAAAGTCAATGTCCCCTCCGTCCTCCTGCACTGCCGGTCGAATGCGCGTCTCCAGCAGCTCCCTTATCATCAGCACAGTCTCACTCTCATCCTGAGAGGGGTGGCAAAGGCGGGAGGGAAAATGCGCACATTCAAATGGGAAAAGAAAGGGCAACCAGAGGAGAGAAGCTACGAAGCATTCTCCAGCAGCTCCCTTATCATTAGCACCGTCTCACTCTCCTCCTGAAGGGGAAGCAGCGTTTGGGAGGGGTTGGCGAAGCGGGGAGAAGACACGGGGAGATTGGCTGGGAGCGGGTTGAAAGCGAGTCTCCAGCAACTCGCGTATCATCAACACCGTCTCACTCTCCTCCTGAGAGGGGTGGTCAACGGGGGCAGGGGAAACAGCAGGGGGAGGTGTGAGTTCAGCCCACGACTACTGTATCATCATCAGCACCATCTCACTCTTGATCTGAAGAAAGACAAGGGGGGAGGAGCCGAGTAAAGAAAGAACAAATTTCAGCTCCTTTTCAGGTTGATGCACACCACCCCACCTCTACTCCTACCCATTGCCACCGCACCTCACCTCATCTCACCACTTTCCCCCACTGCGCCTGTACTGATAAGCCATTCCCCCCACCCCACCTTTGCCCTTCATTCCTCCACCCCATCCCTGCCCCTCATTCCCCAACCCCTCTCCCCACTTCATCACTCACCCCACCCCACCTCTGTGGGTTATTGCTCCCCACCCCACCTCTGCGGTTTGTTGCTCCCCACCCCACCTCTGCGGGTTGTTGATCCCCACCCCACCTCTGCAGCTGCTGCTACCTTTGCCTGGGGGTTCAGCACCGCACCTATCCAACTCACCTCTCTACTCCTGCAATTTCCTACCCCACCTCTGTCTCACCTCACCTTCTCTACTCCTATCACTCCCCCCACCCCACCTCTGCCGGTTGTTGCTCCCCACTAGCTGCTGCTGCCTCTGCCTGGGGGTTCAGCACCGGCTGCCCGGAAGCAAAAAAGTCCATCAGGGCAGCAAAAATCTCTGGCATGAGGAGATCCCAGGAGCTCTCCTCCGTTTTTGTCCAGTCACAGATTCACCCCCCAAGAACACCCGAGCCACACCTGCGAAATGGTGCAGGGATGGTGTGGAGGGATGGTGATGAAATGTTGGTTAAATGGAGAAGCACCAGTGGCAGTGGCAGTGGCAATGGCAATGGCAGGTCAGGCGAAAAAGATAGTGCAGTTGGGCGCCGAAAAAAGAGAAACCGCTTACCATCAATGGGAGCAGTGCAATTGCAAGTGGAGATGCTAGGGCAGCTGGAGGAGGTAGGGCATGGAGTGGGTAGGATAGAGGGAGGGAGGGGAGCGGGAAGGAAGGGGATAACACATGGGTCGGATAGGAAGTGGATGAGACTTAGGTTGGTAGGGTTTTTGTGAGAATTCTCAAGGGTTTTTTTTAGTATTCTCAAAATAACACATTTGTCGTGTGGGAAGTGCATGAGAGTTTGGTTTGTACGTGATTTTGACAGATGAAATAAGATTGGTTCTGAGACGTGTCAAAGCCAATCTTCTTTCACGTGTAGGAAGTGGATGAGAGTCTGGTTTATACGTGGCAATGACAGAGCGAGCAAGCGAACGTTCAAGAAGTTTTCTTACAGAGCTGCTAGAGGAGGCAAGTCGTGGGGTTGGTAAGGGCGGGTAAAGAAGTATAGACGGTAAGACCTGGGGTGGGTGAGGCCGCCTGTGCTCACCCCTTCCATACCCGAAGCGCCATCCATAGTCGAGTCTAGAAGCCCTGTACTTACCCTTCGGACACACACCTCTTTCTTCCACACCCCACCCTCTCTCCCCCACAGGTGAGTCTAGAAGCCCCGCGACCAGGTACGCCCTCCTACCTCACCGCAGCAGTGAGGCCCCCCACAGCCACCTCAGTGTGTCGCTGTCAGAAGTCTAGGCAGGAATGAATGGACTAGAACAGAGTTGAGTACAAATATGAAACCCTAATTGGGCTATACCCCATGTTAGCTACCCCACTACAGCCTAGACATATATAGCATATATATCATTTGACACAACCCCATAGGCAAAGTGGGGGAGAGCAAGGGGTCACAAGACCAGTCAAGAGAGGCAAAGCAAGCTCAGGGTGGATCACAACGTCACCTCACACACTGAGCACAAGCAAAGGGCCACAAGGTCTGTTCACATGCAGAGGTATATATGCAACAACAACAGCATAGTGATCTCTACCGAGAAAGAACAAGCATGCATGTGTATGTATGTATGTATATATATATATAAATATATATATATATATAGATCACAGTACAAACAAAGCCTACAGCAAGTGAGGAAACGTAGGCACAAGGCCCAACAAGGTACAAAAGAGCTGATGCTCACTAGACGGAAGTGCCTTGGTGAATATTTCAGCAGTGTTGGCCCGAGTGGCCACGTAAGCAAGACGTAGCTGACCACGCTGCTTCAGCTCTCGAGCAAGGAAGTAACGCAGAGCGATGTGCTTTGTTTTGTGCTCCAGTCTGTGCTCCTGACACAAGGCAATGGCGGCCTTGTTGTCTACGTACAGAACTGGAAGAGAACGAGGCCGCTCTCCCAAGTCGGTCAGCAGGTAGGTAAGCCAGCGTAACTCCTAAGCAGCCATGGCTGTAACGTAGATTTCAGCCTCACAACTGGAGCTGAGAACAGAGGAAGAGCGTGTAGACTGCCAAGAAACAGAGCCAGAGCCAAGGCTGAAGGTGTAACCCTGTGATGACCGCTGCGTAGCCAGGTCGTCAACCCAAGAAGCGTCTGACTGACCAGTGAGGACAACTCCGCCCCGTCCTCCAAGCACGAGCCCCATGCCCGATGTACTGCACAAGTAGCGTAGTACCCTCTTAGCAGCA